AATAAAGCACAAAATAAAAACAGTGAAAGTAGTAAAGTAACTGTCATAAGTGCCAAATAGTGAATCATATCAATATGACATCATATTTTTAAAACCCCAAGAAAGTTCTGTCTTAATAGTTATGCTGTAAGGATTGAACCTGTTGGGGAAAATTGTTCCTTAAAGTGGTAAAGTCTCTGGGTCTTCACAATTTGATTCTTTTTTTATATGGGGAGCAACAAATGTACTCAATTGGAATGAATAAATGGAATGGTCTGTTTGTCCCTGGAGGAGATGGAAACTAAGTCACAAGGGCCTTTAAATATAAAAAACAGCACTCTGAATTGTACCCAGAAACCTGTTGAGAAGACAAAGACTGCAATATGGGTGTTATGTGACTTTTATCTGCCAAACATGAATAGCTGCATACTGTAGTAACTATGTACCTTAGTCTTCAAAGGAAGACCCATATAAAGCACACTGTAGTAACTTAAACTGAGATAAGGGCATGGGTTACCATAGCTTAGGCCTTCAACTCTACATAGGATCACAACTAGTTGTTGAACGTGATAAGAGAAGTGTACAATGGAAATAAAACATTTGTGAAAGTGAATGAAACTCATAGTGAAGAAGTCCCACCAATAGAATAGAATAGTTAGTCTGTGTGCTAGTCTATACATGTTAAGCCTGCTAGTCTATGGTGGCAAAAAATCTAAAGTCTGGCAGCACCTGTCTTGTGAGACAGATTGCAAATGTCTATCAAATAACAATTGTAATGTATTAAAAATCCATTGTGTTTGTTCAGGCTTATGAATGTGAGTTCAACAATTTCTTACTCAAAGTTGGTATATTAAAGTCCTGCTTTTCCAAAATAGTCAATTTTAAGTCTGCTGTGACATATCTTGACAAGTTGAAGTGTTCTGATATTAATTTGACTTTGTTTTGAGTGCTGATGTCAAACTTTATATTCATTAATTATATTGCACAAAGTTTATCCCACTTGTTTTTCATAGAATCCAGCAGGGCATTGTTGGCAGATGACAGCATATATGTCATTAGGGGTGCTTTTACACCCTCTTCCTCCAATCTTGTAAGTACTTGTTGGACCTTGTGGTTGTGCTGTTTGTAGATGTGGAGGCAAAGTAGTCATCTGATTTTGTTGCATGGTTTGATTGCCATGCTGCTATCCTTTTCTGTTCTTGTTGCTTGTGGAGAATATATTTCAGGTTGGGTGGTAGTTTGTAGCCAGATATGAACCTGAGAAACCACAATATCATTTCTGTTATGGGCTGTAGCTTATTAAATATCTTTGAGCGATTTGAGCTCTTTGTGGCAACCAGTTGTGCTCTGTTTCTGTGATCTATTTTTTAATGTATCCTTCCTGGGGATTGATCCGGCACTACTGCTTTGTCTATTGATCTCACTGAGTGCTAGTTATCTTCTGAATGTCTGGTTTAATTCTATGCATTTGATGAAATGAGCTGCAGCTCACAAAAGCTTACGCCTTTTAAGAAAATGTGTTAGTTGGAAAAGATACTGTCAAACTCCCGATTTTTTGCCAAATCTTTTACTAGATTAGAATACCCTTCTCAATTTGGCAAAAAATTGGGAGATTGACAGTACCTTTTCCAACTAATACCTTTTCTTCAAAATTTTTGCAACCAAGTAAATATCTTAAAACAAAAAAAGCAAGCAAAATACTGCTTAAGCTATTCTATACTGTACTATCTTTTGATTATGGGCAATTGTACAAAAATAGGCAGCGTTTGGATGTATGAAGAGAAATGAACAGAAAATTCTTGAGATGTGGAGGCAGCCAACTCAAGGAAGTCTGGAGTAGGGGGAGAAATATGAAGATAATACATAAATGAGGGAGGACAGGAGAAAAAAAGAAAGGAAGAACTGCAGATTCTTGTTTATGTAGAAAGTTAAGGATGGAGAAGGTAATTTTATTCTCGTATACTAGATATTTGGGAAGAACTTCTAGAATGATATAGAGTCAATGTTTATTAAATCTACTTTTCTTGCCTTTTTACTCAAAGAAGCAGCTGCTAAGTAAAGAGCCTTCCATCAAGTGAAATGTCTATAAGCATGAAACTTTAGATCATACCTCTAATTTTTGAGATGAAAAAGCATGCATTGACTGAACTACTTTTAAAAATATAAAATCTATTACTCAAAACATTCTCATCATAATTAGGTGAAACAAAGGTTCTGTAATAGATGGAATTCTGAGAAAAACTAGTCAATATTTAGATTATATATAGTGATTTATACAAAAACTCTAGAGGGCAACAAATTTATTGATACTAATTTTTTTCAGAGTGCTTAGATACTCAAACATACGATTGTGCAAAACATTAGAACAAGGTGAACAAAGCGTTCTCTTCTTAGCATTCAAATATCCCATTTTTTGCAAGGCTTGCAGTATTATTTCAAAAGCTGTTCCAAGTTGTGTTCATGAACAAACAACAGTTCTGCTGGGATCTTTTTGCATGCATGTGGTCTCAGCCAGATACAGTCTTCAAAGAGACATGTTTCAATGTTTTGTAGAAAAGTGTTTCATTTACACTAAGAAACTTTGGGAAACATTTCTTCTGAATGCTTTCCATAGGCCTTCTAAATCAGTCTATCGGCTCAAATTATTTAATGGATTGTATTCACACCTTCCTCTTCAGCAGCAATTAAATTACACTTGGCGTTATTATTTAATATATTATTTAGATTTAATATAGCCTCCCACTCCAGTTCAAAACAATCTCTCTGTTATGTGAAACTAGGCAATTACTGCAAGCAAACCAAAATTAAAACTACATTAGCAAAGACAGAAGTATATTTATACGATTCCTCCGAAATCATAATTTGGAATAGACCATTTCCAGAATTTAGCTGTATATTAAGAAATGAGAAAATTTAAGATTCGAAAGCTCATAATATAAAAATAAACAGTAATGTTATGACTTGCAATTCAAAAGAATATAGATTGCTTTATACTTTAACTGTATCTTTAAAATTCCTATTGTGTTTAAGGGTTTGGGTTTTTTTAAGAAAACAAGGCATTAAAATGTGTTATTAAAATATATGGAATAAGCAAACAATAAAAAAAGCACTGGAGATCTTAGGGTCTTAGTTTCCCTATCTTAGATTAAGGGTTCATCTCAGGACAGTGAATGTCCTGAAATTGATACAAAAATGTGTTTATGTAAACTTATTTCAATATAAACATTATAAGCTGCATCAAACTTCACACATTTTCCTATATTACTTGTCCTATCAGATTTCAAAACATGTTTTAAAATAAAGGCTGTGTCACCTAACCAATTTTGATTTTTAAAAATTGAAGAACGATTAGACCTGGCTAGTACAGTAATCAAATGGAACATCACCAAAATTCCCAAGCAAACAAACAAAACCTCTTCAGAAAGAATGACAACACGGTATAAATATGTACATATCATAACTGAATTAAGTTGAGGGAGACTATGTTATTCAAACACCAAATAAGTATAAATCACAACAATAGAATATCAGGTTACTTTATTATTGAAATAACGAAACTACACTGGTATATCTAGTATGACACCAGCAAAATCACCTAAGCCACCTAGATGTCAGATCAAGGGTCATTTTCTAATATCAACAGACAAAACAATAGGCAATTGATGCGAAGTTCATATGCACGAACAATCCAATTATTGCCTGAAAATGCAATCCCTTATGCATTTGATGTCAAGTGAATTTGTGTGGATTATTTAATGGGAGAAAAAGTCAAGCATTACAGAGAAATGATTTGGTTTACTGTCCCTCAGGAGTTTTAAAAAACAGTATAAAGCCATTTTCCATATATCACTTGTGGAGAGACCAATCAGATTTCAAAATAGATGGCTAACTATTGCTGTGTGACTTAACAACCAAAGGTGGAACAGAGCAAGATAGATTAGCTTCACTGAAATGGAAGTCCACCCTTTTGGACTCCCGGTGCAAGCCACCACAGCTCACGTGCTCATTTTGATACTACCACCACGTCCCTCAAGGGAAATCAAATGAGGCAACAACAGTCCTTTTGCACAGCGCAGTCAGTCAAGCAATCAAATCTAGGTTGCCTAAACCACTGGGCGCCGGGAGGAAAAAAAAAAGGACAGCCATTGTGCTTTATTTTGGAGCCCCGTTTCATCCCAAGAGCTCCCCTCTCTTACAACCCAGGGTGTCTAACAAAAGGGGGTTGGGTGGCGGAGGGAGGGAGGCAGCCAGGCCCAATGCGAGGATCTCCCAGCCTGGCCTAAACCTTCCTCTCCTTTCTATAGAGCAGCTTCCCCTCTTCTCTCTAACCTGGCCCAGGCAGACTCCGTCACCCGTCCGCCCCCAACTCCAGATGCGGGGTCTCCCCGGGAAGGATTTCCCGCTCCCCCTCCCTGCCTCCTCGCCCTTCCCCAGGCAGCCTGGCAGGCCCATCCGTCCGACTGCCACCCCCCCCCCCCCCCCCCCCGGTCTCGGAGAGCCCTTGACCAGGCCCGCGTTCCCGCTGCCCGTCCCTTGCAACGGCTGTCAGACCAGCCCCTCCCACAGCCGGCCTGCTCGCCGCTCGCCCGCCGGGGCTGCAGCTCAAGGCGCCCCGCTCGTTCTCGCTTCCCCCCCCTCCTCCCTCCGCAGCCCACCCGTTCGGCCCCGCCTCGCACAACACAACCACCCCGAGCCCAGAGCCGCGCGCTCACCTGGTGGCGCTGCTGCTGCTCCCGCCCAACGCGCCTGCAGAGCGCCTGTGCGGGCAGCCCTCCCCGCCACCGGACGCCCAGGCGAGGAAGGCCAGGAGGAGAGCGGTGGAGAACGGGGCGGGGAGGCGGTCGGCGCGGACCCGGACCTCCAGGACACCGACCCTCAAAGCCCGGCCCAGGCTCCTCCTCCTTCTCTTCGGGAAGGCCACGTGACAGGCCCGGCTGCGCGCGTCGCCTGTGACCGGGCGCGCGCCGCCGGTTGGGGAAGCAGCGGCGGCGGCGGCGGCGGCGGCGCGTTCATGGCCGGGCTTCCTTGGCGGTGGCTTTCGTCTTCCTTCCCTCGCTTTTCTTCCTCGTGGAAACGGATCGGAAGTCCGCAGTTGCTCCCTTTCCAGTGTTGTCCTTAAAAATGGGATCCCTCTCGTGGCGAAAGGGCGCTCTTGGTCCCGCATTGAGACAGTTCCCGCGTTCACACGTTCAAGTCAGCTTCGCCTTGGGCGGTCGGAGACCGTTAGGATGCCCCCCCCCTCCTCCCGCCTATCACGCCACAATTGTCTGCTTGGGACATTGAAGAGGGATTTCACTCCCATCCGCGAGAGTCCGTGTCTCCTCAAAGTGGTCAGATCTTGTTCACAGAGGTCGCTCCTATCATTCCTCCTGTAACTCTCCTGCTGAAATTCAGTGGGCTTTTATCCAATCGGGGAGTGACCCCTTTTCCCCATTCTTAGAAAGAAGTTACATTTAAGTTTCTACGTAGCCATTATTATTAGGTAAAATCACCATGACGTATACTGTAGTGGCATTACAAGACCAGGATGCTGTATGATGCTAGGGAGGACAGTAAGAAAGAAATTAACAATGAGTTTGAGCTCAAGAGTTAATCCTACTGTACTCTTGAGGATTGGAAGGAATGCTCCCAGATGATGCTTTGAAAGCCAAATTGTGTTCGTCCTTTTTGGTCTTCCATAATTGTTTTCCAAAATACCTATTCTGGAATTGGAGCGCTTAAGTTGGCTGATCTCAGAAAGCTAAGAAGGATCACACCTGGTTAGCGCCGGATCAGGAAATCCTAGGATGGAGGTTGGACAGGGAAATTGAAAAAGCATCCCAGAAAAAAAGTAGCGGGGAAGTTGGATATATCTGTGAGATCACCAACTTCAATTTGAAGGAGTCTCTTTAGAACCAGACAAAACTATCATTGTGCTGAATGTTTTTTGAATGGTAGTACTAGGAACCCATCATCTGAAAGCACTTTTCCTTTCTTTGGGAAATGGAGAGTTTCGCTTCTGGAATAACACTTGTTTCGCTTCTGGATAACATACCATTTCCCATTTGTAATCTTCCTATGCATTTTTAGTGATTCTTCATTTTAACCACAGAAAATCTGTTAAAATGGAATAATAGAACAATGGAATTTTGATTTGTAGTATATTGGTTGTCTGGAAGCTCCTCTGCCTTGTTCCTTAGAGATGAGATACCATAACACAGTTTTTTTTTTCAACTGATCACTAACTGAAACAGAACAATGCCTAATTTAAATCATGTGTATATTATGAAAGCTCTTGCATTTACATATTTCACACTATACTTGTGAATCTTTAAAATGCTATAGGATTAGCTAGTCTCCATATCTGTACTACAATTTGCTTATTTGTAAAAAGAGTACTCCTGCTAGATCAAAGGATCATATGTCTAGAGGTATAATAATAATAGAGTCCTGGGTTCAAACTCTGGTCAACTTTATTTTTACTTTCACCCACTCTAATGAACATTTTAAATTAATGTTCTCATCTACATTTAGGTATAAATTTCTAGAAAAGGGTAGTCATGTTATTTGTTTTAGCAAAACAAACATGAGCAGAAAGAAACCCCCTTAAAGAATAATAGATGTATTAAAACATAAACTATGAGTTTATATACCGAGTTGCATCCCAGAGCCCTAATTTATAGAAGAAAAATTTGTAAGACAATCTTGACTGATCTGATCTTCTTTGCCTTTATTGATTGCATTATTGAATGTGATGTATATGCTGATTTTAGTATACCATCCATTCAGTTTTGTATTTTTTCATTGGTGCTTATCATGTGATTATTTTACTTATTCTCAAATGCCTAACAAGTTTTATCATTGCAGATTACATTGGTCTTACTGAAATAGGCAGTATAATTACTATATTAGAAACCTACCCAAAAGTACAAGTAATGTCTAAATAGTCTTCCTATAATACTATGACTTTTCATCACTGTATCTCCCTTTTTCCATTATATTAATCTACATGAACAAAATATTTACCTACTAAGGCTATTCTAAGAGGCCCTAACACAAATTAAAATGAGTTATTTACAGATTAAAATGTAGAAAGTAGAATAATAGCTGTTAAGCATACCTGTACAGAAAAGGAATTGTCATATTTTTATTCATTTAATACAGTAAACAACAATATGGTATGTTTGATTTTATATTATGTATTAAGTAAAACCTGATGTTATAGTAAACCAGGGTTTATGGCTGTGCGAAATCTAGCATGTAGTTGCAATCTCTTTTCCTTTCAGTGGTTTATATGCATGCTATGGTTAATGATACTGAAAGAATTGTACCTGAATGATCCAGCAAAATGAACACATTTTTCTGTAAAGTTCCATCATAAATGTAAAGAAAATACACATATACATACATACAGTTTATATATACATATATATACGTACACACGCACACACTTTTGCAGAAATTTAAGAATCGAAGCATGTAAATTCTTTTGAAATTATTAGCGAAAGTATAAAAAGAAAGATGTGCCATTGTCAGAGTTTATTATAACATCCTGGGCAACAAGAAAATATAGAAATCAGCCTTTCTGTATTAAATGACTAATCTGCATACAGACATGAGATAGTGATAATGAGATTTTTCAGTAACCTAACATCTGCTAAAAAACTCAAAAGTCAGAGGTCCAAAAATTATTGCTCTTTCTTGTTGACAATTTCATTTGTCAAAAGGTAGACAAAAGAAGAAGCAGGTCTATTATCTTGTAACTTATGTTCACTACCAGAGAGGAATTGATTAAAAAGTGAAGCTAACTAGTAATAATCTGAATGTTTGTTATCCAGAAAGAATTGGCAAGAATCAGACCTCTATGCTGTATGCTGGATTCAGAAGAGTAGTTTTTAATGAATTCTGAGAGGAAGTACCTCCAGTGGCTTTACACTTGGAAGAAAGGAATTTCAATATCCGGAAATGATAAGAAACTTTACAACATTGCATACTAAAAACACAATTACCAGGCAACCCTGCAAGAAAGAAAAAATAGAGAAATATAAAGGGGCCAATATGGATTTATGCAGAGTTCTCTAAGATGATGAAAACAAAAAGTGTCGTGTACAGGAAATGGAAGGAAAGGACTCTAACTGAAGAAAAATGCATGGCAATTGCCAGAAACAAAAACTGTCAGAAAGGCTCATATTCAGAATGGATAAACATTTAGCTTGTATAGAGATACCAAAAATAGCAAAAAAGTGACATTTGGATCTGATAGAAATACAGTAAAAGAATTGTCAAAGAGAGAGTAGGTCTGTTACAAAAAGAAATTGTGAATTTGTAATGTTTGATGCTGATCCTGTTTTGCATTTTCTTAGAAGGAATATGGAACTCTAGCTGGTTATCAATATATCACTGAGAGAATAAAGGAACTACAATCTATGATAGAAAAGAAAGAGTAAGCAAGTTGAGCTAATTTAAATAAATTTCTGGGGCCACATGGGCTACCTACTAAAGGAACTAAAGTTTTGTGATAACAAAACTACCCTTAAACTAACCTTTAAGAACTCCAGGAATACTGATATATGGGAACTCAGATTGTTGGAGGCAATATGCTGACATTGTAAACTGCCCAGAAAGTGCTATAAAGCACTGTGGGGCAGAATGTAAGTCCAAGTGCTATTTCTATATCTCAGGGGACCAGAAGCGAGCATACTTTATCCCTATCTTTAACAAGGGTAAGAATGAGACTTCAAAAAACTACAGATCAGTTTGATATCTACATTTGGAAAGGACTTTGAAAGGATTGTCAAGCAGTATGTTAATGAAGCATGCTACAATTAGCAAGATCCAGGATAGGTTTATCATAGACCGATTGTACTGTACTAATCTTCCATAGAGTTACTAGCATAGTAAATAAAAGGATGCCATAGATATAGCATTCCTGGATGTAAGCCAAGCCTTAAGACAGAGTGCCTCTTGATATTCTCCTCCATAAATGGGTAAAATATAGACTAAATTAGGGGTCTCAAATACATAGCCAACAGACTATTTTTGGTCTCCTGAGGTTTGGTGTTCGGTTTGTTTTTGTTTTTTGTACGATCCAAACAGATCACTAACATTAACAAAGAGAAAAAGAAAAAGAATGATTGCAGACGAAAACCATTGTCACGATGAGTGGGAAAATTATATTTGGGTTATAGAGATGAAAGATCAAAGTTAGTGTTTCATTTGTTTGCAATGTTTTTTAGTTGTAAAGGCGATGCACCAAGAGAAGTATGCAGCAATAACGGGCAAAATGCAAGACAAAACAGTTTAGCAACTCAAGGCAGTTCTTGCAAAACAACAAAACTTTTTCACAAATATCAATAAATCAAGCTAAGATTCTACTAAGTGCAAGTTTCATCATGAAATGATTACAAAATCATAAGGACCATTAACTGAAGGTCAGTTTACAAAAGTTTGCTTTAAATGCAAGTGAAATGCTTTGCCACAATAAGATTTTTTTTCCCAACAGGATTACGGACTTGACAATGTGCAACAATAAATCTCAAAGCATTTTCAATTGTTCTTGACTAGTCTACTAGGGTAAGATCCCCTGCTTATTGTGTGATATTTGTATGAGGAATTGCCCAAAACCTAAGCATGACTGAAGAATTACTGCATTTACTATCCATAAAAAGCACAATAACAAATGGTAATATAATCAGGAATTGGAAATATGCAAAAAAAAAACAAAAACCCAACCAAAACCCTGCAGACCTGCAGTGGGATATACTTCATGTCAATGGTCATGGATGGTCCACCTGAAATGTGTTTTCAAACACATTGTGTTATAAGAGTACTCCGAGCAAATGTTTGTTGGCAAGAACATTTATTCCTGTCAGCATGCAAGAGTAAAATAATTAAAAGATGCAGGAAGGAGACCATCGAGCAAGGAATAACATTAAAGGACGATATGGTTGAAGGATCAGATTTCTGTTATACTATTTGAAGGACTCTAAATAGGCTGAGGGTTGGAGTGCCTGAGTGTTAAGACCAATATACTCAAGTGGAATGGAGTATATCATGTGAATGCAGAGGGATGCAGAGCCCAGCCCATCTGGTATTTTATACTTTGCCCCATTTTATGATCTTTCTTACCACAGATGTTAAGTGAATCACCACAGTTGTTAAGTTAGTAACAAATTGAGGCTTCCCATTGAGGTTGCTTGTCAGAAAGTTGCAAAAGGTGATCATCTGACTCTGAGACACTGCAACTGTCATAAATATAAACCAGTTACCAGGTGTCTGAATTTTTGATCACGTGACCACAGAGATGCTGTAATGATTGCAAGTGTGAAAAACAGTCATAAGTTACTTTTTCATGTCATCGTAACTTTGAATAGTCACTAAATGAACTGTTGTAAATTGAGGACTATCTGTACTATATTTTAACCACTGCATCACCAGGGCCTCTAGGATTTTACAGAAGCCTTCCCCAGGTGATAAAGCTATGTGAAAAATGTGTTTATTTAAAGGTATTTCAAAGTGCCTAACATTTTATTGAATAGAACACAATAGATATATTAATAGAAAGATCTGTTTAATCTGCCATTCTGTTCCCATAGTGATTAAATAAATGCATATGCAACATGTGAACTTAGCAATGGTTCTTAAGTTCCTCATCCTTCATGTTGAGAGACATCATAATTAGATATGTCCAAGGCAAATTATATAAAATTTGTCATAATAAGATGTTTCATACTGTCTCACAGCCTCCTTGAAGCCTCATCCAGCATTCTGAAAAAAATTTCTTGCATAAATGCTCCTGTAGCTTTTGCGAGTTTCAAAGGAACCAGGGAAAGCTAGCAAAGCAAAGAAAGTCACTTGAAGTGAGAATATTTGTTTGAATCCATTACTGCAACTTGCATTCCATAGTTTAACTATGAATTTTGTCAAAAAGAATTTATTGCTTTTGAATCTCTTACAAAGTTTTTACCTTGATGATGGTGATTATTGCCAGATATTTCTGAATACTTTAGAGTAATGGATTTGGTGTTCGCTTTGAGTTAATCCTTCACACCTCATCCTATGTACATTGATTCATATGTTTCATTGAGTTCATTCAACCTCATTGACAGGTGTATTTAAAGTCTTTATGACTGGTTAGGTGTAGCGACTCATCTGTCTCCATTCTATATGACTGACGGACTCATTCATGCCTATGACAGACATTCTTCTCAATCTAACCTGAAGTTGTCATGAACTTCCTGGGATCTTTTGCATACAAAATAGTGCTAGCACTTGAAGTCCTTCCTGAAGAATCTTTGGTTTGTGGTTGATTAAATGCCAAGAATAAAGATCAATCAATGCTAGAATATTGTCTAATGATTTGGCTCTAGTTCACAGGGGGTCTTTCTTATTTTTTTTTTCTTAGTTTTCCCAGCCTTTTCAACATAGGGTCATCATTGTTTTCCATAAGTCCTTGCTGATTTGCAGCACCTCTTGCAACATAAAGTTCTTTTAAATATGCATATATTTTTGTAAGAGGCCATAAGAATGGGCATCTAGCACTTTAAGTGGTGTGCAGAAAAGCAATTTGCATGAAGTTACGTGCCTAATAGACTCTGGCGTGCACACAATTCTTTCTGCAAATGGCAGCTATTACTGGAAGAGTCATGAATATGCATGCTTGGCTTGCAATTTTTACCCACACTGTTTATTACCACAATACTTCTTCCAATTTCTGCAGTTATATTTTGCACTTGCATGGTAAATTAGAATTTGGAATGCATGTATACTTTGGATGCATTCTGTTGTTTTCTCAGAATAAATACATGAATATGTTCATTTAGTTAACTTCTTTTTACTCACTGAAGAAATCCATGGTACAGATAACAGAACTCTAAGAGATAGACTTGTAACTCTTTTGACTTCAGATCTTAGTTGGGTATCATGTAAAATCTGCCTTGCTGGAACATCTATAATGTATATAGACATATAGAAGCCCAAATGTCCTTATATTGATAATCATATATTGGATATTACAATTCTTTATAGCATTATTCCCTATAATTTTCAATACTATATCTAACTTGGTAAAATCTAGCAACCATTAGTAATAATTGCTATGTGCTTATAATTTTGCAAATTGCTTATTAAATCCTCTAGTTTTAGAGAGAGTTCTAAAATACTCAGGACTGTCAATACATAATTAGATGTCAAAAGGTGTCAAAACTAAATATATGGCTACAAAAAACTCTAGTCGCTAGACTATTTTCTCTAGATCCCAGATCTATTGCAGTTCCAATCTTTAAGAAAGGAACTAGAAACAAAACTAATTTCTCTCCAATTATCCTTCTAAGTATTGTCAGCTGTACCAACAGGCACATTTACTGACTTGACTAGTTGATCCAAGACAGTTTGGGTTCAGGAGCAAACCAAATAATTTACATCATCATCATCATCATTATTATTATTATTATTATTATTATTATTATTATTATTATTATTATTTATTACTAGTTCTACTAGTTGATCTAGTAGAAAAATATTCTTAATATCAAGTGATATTCAGTGAGTTACTTTTATTAAAGATAGCTTTTGAGTCGATTCACAAAGGTAGGTTCTAGGCAAAGCCTGCCTATCCTTTATCCCCCGAAGGGTTCTATTCGAAACTTCACAAGATCACTCAAATTATTATTTACTTGATTATTTACTTATTTATTTATTTGCTTTCTCAATACTTTACTACTATTGTATTTATGAATGTTGCTGGATTTTATGTGCATATTCTGATCCATGACCATAAAATCTTTTTTAAGAAAGAAAAAGCTTCTGGAGGAAGAAATGGTAGATTGAAGATGGTGGTACCACAAAAGATGGGATTAACGATGATGGGGAAGAATGAAGAGTTGGTGAGTAAATGGAGGTTTTGAGCCCTGCGAGACAAGGAATAGCCATCTTGCTCAAACTATGGTTGGTACCTTTAAAAGGACACTAAGTTTGCGTACTTCCTTCTCTAATCACATTTGGAAATTGATTGTTAACTACTTTTTCAGAAGTTTTATATCACAAGACATATAAATAGTTGACACTGAAAGTGAATCTACAAATGACAGGCTACAAGAATGAGATGGGAAAAGATGTCTTATTGGAAATACAAAACAAATCATTTGATAGCTTAAAAAGTAAAAGGAATCACAAATAATAAATCAAAATAGTGACCTGGATAATTCTTATATATTGGATTTACCAAAGTGATTTTTAAAACTTGGATTTTATGTGCATATTCTGATCTATGAATTTTGTGAGTAGGAGCAAAAACAAATAAAAAGTACTATGACATTATTTGAATTGACTAAAGATTAAAATTGTTAGAAGCAAAAGGAAGAAATATAAAGTTGGTTTATTTGATCAAGGTTAAAAGAGATATGTTGTTATTTCTGGCAAACCTTAGGACTTTTGCTGACACCAGGACAGAAATGATACTTTATGGATTTGTTTATAGAGGAGAGATAGGATATGGGATGAAGTGATCACTGGCTATAAATTAAGAGGAAGTGAAAAGTTAGTAAAGGTATTTATGTTATTGTGATAAACAATATTGTTTATATTGTTACTAAACTTATTTATATTTATAAAGAAATAATTTCTCTTTCTTTAAATTTTTCTTTGCACTTTTTACTTTTTTTCATTCTTTTAGTTTGTATTAATTTTAGTTATGTAATTATAATCTTTAATACAATTATTTTAACAAAAATAAAATCTGCTTTGTTGGAACAGGGTGCAGCCTATCTCATTTGATATTTGAGACTGAATGGCAGCCAACAGTTTCAATAAAAAGCTCAAAAGCACAACATGAGGGCAATAGCTAAGAAAAGCTGGAAGATGAAGTCCAGACATCTAAAAGTTGCCAAGGTTGAGAAACACTGTATTCAGAAAAGTAGATAATTAGAGTTCCCATTGATAAGCATTACAGTAAAACAAAATTATACAATTAAAAAATCTCTCAAATGAATTAACAAATGTTTAAGGTACTCAGTGCAATGAAATCGGGAGTGTTGGTTTTTTTTCTTAATAGAATAGAAGAAATACTCTTCCAGTTTTTTTGTTATTGTGTTTGATAAAATGAATTTCCTTTTGTCTTCAAAATAGCTCTTCAAACATTAAGAGAACATGTGGAAATAGAATCACATCTATTGTCTATTTCCTTAAGCTTTCCATTTTCAATTGAAGATTAACATAGAATTGCACATGGATAGGATCTGTTAAAACAACTGTGGCCTGCAAAAGCAGGACTTTTATTCATTTTCAGTGGCGTAATTCCTATATGTTGTACTAAGCATGTGGGGAAGGGTCTATTTCTGTGCTTAAATTTCTGTTGCTGTGCATTCCACAAAGTATATTTTTTCATTAAGAGAAATACTAATATGGATGATCTCTGGAGGGCTCGGGATAGGGGTTGCTCCTCTATCCTGGTCCTGTTAGATCTCTCAGCGGCTTTTGATACCATCGACCATGGTATCCTGCTGCAACGGTTGGAGGGGTTGGGAGTAGGGGGCACCGTCCTGCGGTGGTTCTCCTCCTACCTCTCCGACCGGTTGCAGTCGGTGTTGGCAGGGGGGCAGAGGACAACCCCGAGGCGCCTTGTTTGTGGGGTGCCTCAGGGGTCGGTCCTCTCGCCCCTTCTGTTCAACATTTATGTGAAGCCGCTGGGTGAGATCATCCGTGGTTTGGGGTGGAGTTCCATCAGTACGCTGATGACACTCAGCTGTACATCTCCACTCCAGGCCATCCCAACGATGTCCTTGAAGTGATGTCCCGGTGCCTGGAGGCCTTGCAGATCTGGATGGGGAGTAACAGGCTTCGACTCAACCCTTCCAAGACTGAGTGGCTGTGGCTTCCGGCAACCCGATATAGCCAGCTGGTGCCATCGCTGGCTATTGGGGGCGAGTTATTGGCCCCCACGGATGGGGCTCGCAACTTGGGCGTCCTCCTGGATGCACGGCTGTCTTTAGAAGAGCATATGACGGCCGTGGCCAGGGGGGCTTTTTATCAGGTCCGCCTGATTCGCCAGTTGCGTCCCTTTCTGGATCGGGACTCCTTACGCACAGTCACTCAGGCACTCGTCACTTCCCGCCTGGACTACTGCAATGCTCTCTACATGGGGCTCCCCTTGAGGAGCACCCGGAGGCTCCAACTGGTGCAGAATGCGGCTGCGTGGGGGATTATGGGAGCGAGGGGGCGCTCCCATGTGACACCTCTCCTGCGTGAGCTGCATTGGCTTCCAGTTGTCTTCCGGGTGCGCTTCAAGGTGTTGGTTACCACCTTTAAAGCGCTCCATGGCATAGGACCTGGGTATTTGCAGGACCGCCTTCTGCCGCCGATAGCCTCCCACCGACCAGTACAGAGAGAGGGACAGAGAGGGACTCCTCAGGGTGCCGTCAGCCAGGCAATGTCGGCTGGCGACCCCCAGGGGGAGGGCCTTCTCTGTGGCAGCTCCTGCCCTCTGGAACGATTTGCCCCCGGAGATACGAAGGATATCGGATCTCCGGGTCTTTCGCCGTGCCCTGAAAATTTTTCTTTTCCATCAAGCAGGGCTGGCGTGAACCCCCTCCCCCTTTTTTAGTCTTTTTTAGTTTTTTAGTTTTAAATTGTCATTGAGTTTTGAATTGTTTTAAATTGGGCCAGTTATGTAATTCTTTTAACAATTTTAAATTTTGTATTGGCATGTGTTTTAGTTCTGGCTGTTCACCACCCTGAGTCCACTAGGAGACGGGCGGTATACAAATTTAAATAAATAAATAAATAAATAAATAAATAAATAAATAAATAAATAAATATTCTAAATGCTACCTAAACAGAAATAGTTATATACTTAAAAATGTTCCCATAATAAACTGAGAGCAACAGCATAAATGTGAAGGAAAGAGTCTGTTTAGAATTGTCTTTAATTCTAATGATTCACAACTAAGCCCAGTGAAAACTAATTTGAAGGCAATTGTGGAATATATGTCTCTGTATGTGTACATATATGCATGTGCGCGTGCTCATACACACACAGACATACTTATACTTGCATTGAAAAAATCTTGATATAGCCTTACTGAACCAATAGCATCACTTCAAGGATGAATGCCTTTCCCATTCTGGATAGGGGCCTTCAGTGTCATGTATGAATTCTATTCTTATTCATTTTAGTTTATTTTATTTTTTTTAAATATTCCTGCTTTTTTCTGCATCTGTAGATGATTTTTTAAAACATCAGAAATATTGAGATTTTATTTCAGTATTTTTAAGCTATGTTACTAATGATTTAGATAAATAAAAAGTTTTGCAAGCATTAATCTAGTGCATGGGTGTCAAACTCGCAGCGTCACGTTGCCGTCACATGATGTTTTGTGACCTTTTTCCCATTCCCATTCGCGGAACTGGGGTGGGCGTGGCTTGCGTGTGACGCATCCGGCCCATGGGCTGCCAGTTTGACAACCCTGATCTAGTGGGTATATTAGGAGGAAGTTTGTTTAATTAGAACTCCACCTTAATGAAAGAGAGGTATGGTTGACAAGACATCAGCTGTAAAGCATGTAAAATTATAACTTACAGCTCATTGATTTTTTTTTATCCTGTTGCCAACTAGAGCCTTCAGATTGAGGCAATTTACAAACATTTCAAATAAACAGACCACCATAAGTCTACAATGAAACTATTCAATGTGAAATGACAATAAATCTGCTTGAGTCCTTTCTGCACATGAAATTAATTCACTATAAATGAAAATAATCTAGAGACCAATAATAGAGACCAAGAAGAAAAAGGTCCAATTTTCTGCAGGATAAAATAGCTTAGTTCATAACTCCTATCCACAACTGAATGATACTACATATTGGGTCAAAACATTTGAAGTGGCACCTTCAATGTGTTGAAGTTGCCAACCATCTACCATTAAGTTAATGTCATCAAGAGGATTATGAAAACCTGCCTTCTCTTCTCAGGGCAGAGAGGATTATAAAAGTTAATATTACTTGAGATATGAGTAAGAGCAGTTACAATTATTTATGTGTGTTGGTACAAATTACATTTGAGGACCCAGATTGTTGGGGGCAATATGCTGACTCTGTAAAACCGCTTAGAGAGGGCTGCAAAGCACTATGAAGCGGAATATAAGTCTAAGTGCTATTGCTATTGCTATTTCACTCAAAGGGAATTTTTGAGACTCTTATACATGAATTGAAAATAATATGCTTAATAATCGAGAAAGGTGTGAGATCACTAAAGTACCAGAAATAAATATGTTATTACAAAACTTTTTCTGCTTGATCCTCAAGATACTGACACAAAGGTACTCTGCATTATCAAAGTACCATTTTCTTTCTTCACTGATGAACAACAAGCACACTTGAATGATATGTGAAAATCCATGTTATACTGAAATCAGCTGTATATACTGTGTTAGCTGCCTGATTTACTCTAAGTTAGGCAAACAAGCTACCTTAAAAGAAAAAAAAGCGCACACATCTTTATTTCAGTATGTGTTTATCCATGTAAAGAAAACCATCAAGAAAACATTCTTACAAACAGCAAAACTGTTCCAGAGATTGAAGATGAGGAAATTTCTTAATTACTATCAATATCAGCCAATAGGCTTCCTCCCTAGATATATGTACGCATTTCCCATGCAAATTCAAACTCATGGAACTGTGTTTGATTGTTGGGGGGGGGGTTATTAAGAACCTGGGTGAAAATAGATATATTCCTTGAACAGTGAATCTTCCACTAACACTGTCAAAATGGTACATTTTCAGTATCAGTTGTTTGTTTCTTAAATATTCCCTGTGCTCAATTTAGAATTATTTCACTGTGGTGCATCAAATAGTTGGACTAGCTATCAAAATTAAACTTATTCCCTGTGCTCCTATTTTAATAATGCCTGAGATTTTTATAACTCAAGATCATAATGAACAAAAATTCTAATTGTTGTGCTGTATCTTGATCAGGCTTCATTGTTTCAGTACAGAATTGCAGAGGGGACTATTTAGCAATGTAAAAACCCATAGAAACACCACTTGTTCCACATTATGGGGAATGATAAAGGAACTGTTTGGAAACATGCATAATGTATTTTGGGGGGAAAGCCTTTTTTTTTTTTTTTTTTTTTTTGGAGGAACAAATTCATCTGAGAGTTGCTATAATATTGTTGCTCCTGCTGCATCCACACTTCTTGGGTCTTTCACACCAATTATGAAATTGTTTGTTCTTCTGGCTCCATGAACTATAGAGAGGACCTCAACTTTCTTTACATGTTCACCTCTGGTTGTAAAATAGCTGATATCTTCTTCTGGAAACTCACCTAATAAGAAAGGTTTGAAAAAGTTATTTACATTAGAGCAATAATGCCCCATTTGAGTCAACTTGAAACATTTTGTTTTCTCAGGTACATAACGAAACAGTACCTTTCTCCCATTTTGCATCTAGAAACCATGTGAATTTGCAACTTATTTTGGAGGCACTTCCATAAGGTGGCTTTACGTCAGTCCAAAATCAGCACTGGATATATGAGGTCTCATGCCATTCTCCATGATTAGTAGCCAAGTCCATTCATTTCCTGCTCACTGTAGTGTATCTTGGATTGGCTACAGGACAGTTTTCCATGTAAAAATTTAAATTTGTGGGTGGGCTTTTTTTCTAACCAATAGGAACTCATGTCTTGGTCTCTATTTCCAGACTCAGGCTAACACATTTTTGCAGCAACCCCAAACAGCAACCATTCTGTTTCATGAACAATCAAATGCAAAAGGGGATATTAATAAAACTCCTTATTATGTGTGATGCAGGTGAGAAGAAGTTTGCAGTTTTGGCACTGGCAGTTGCTCAGGGCTGAGTATTCAACTGAATGTTTTGTTTCATTCTCTCCAATAGGCCAATGGGAGCAGATTAGTGTTCTCAATATTTTGAAACCACTGTATTTGGGATGAGTTTCAAAATGCCTTAGGGAGATTTGAGAATAAAAACAGTGCTGGTACAGA